ACACACACACACACACACACACACACACACACACAGACACACACACACACACAGAGCAGTGGGCAGCCATTTATGCTGCAGCACCCAGGGAGCAGTTGGGGGTTTGGTGCCTTGCTCAAGGGCACCTCAGTCATGGTATTGAAGGTGGAAGAGAGCACTGTACATTCACTCCCCCCACCTACAATTCCTGCCGGACTTGAGACTCGAACTCGCAACGTTTGGGTTACAAGTCCGACTCTCTAACCATTAGGCCACGACTTCTCCAATAAGGGTGCACGTGAAAGTCATCAGAATCTCTGGAACGGCAGCAGAGACCCTCACCTTTCTCCGAGATCTCAGCGCACTGCAATAATAGTCTTTCCATAAAAGCCACTAGCCTCTGCAGTTCAAAAGAAAAAGAAATCAATCAATCCTCGCTGCTCAAAGGTTGCTGCACTCTGCAAATACTCGAGCCGTTGAGAGACAAGATACCTCGAGTGTTCTCTCAGTATGTGATACTGAGAGGCAGCAAATTAGAGGTGGTGACATTTCATTTGGCTCCTTTGGTGAAGCATCTCGCAGCACTCATGAAGGATTGCAATTAGGGTAGATGAGCTGTTTTACATCTTGGCCTGTCTGTCATTCATTTCCAGGTCGTTCACAGGTCGCACAGCAGTACGCTGTACCTCACTAAAAGCCAAGGCAGCTGCAGAGCCTGTTATTACCATCCCTAACACGGTGAGGATTAAAAAAATCACATAAAAAATTTATTACTATGTAATGAGAATGATATTTAGAGCGAGAGGTAAACTTATTTTTGCCTTTGGATACATGTTTGCTTCTGCACCTGTTTCACTGAAAGCAAGTCCTTAACAAAACAAAAAGATTGCGTGCAGAAATGCAGCATAATGGCGTAATTGGCGTAATTTCGCTCACAAAGAAAGATATCTAGCCTACACCTGCAAAGGTAGATGGAAAATTAATATTAATGAAGCCTCAATTTTCAAAATGTTTTTGAGGAGCTGCCTCAGAGAGAAACCCAAATAACCTTTGAGATAATTGTGAAGAAAAAACGAGCGAAGGAGCTGAGATTGACACTTTGAGGTAATGTCCTCTCAGGGCTCTCCATCCTGCAAGTATTAGACTTCACCTGCTTTAACATAAATGTACGAATTTATACTCAATTGGAAAGACTAATTGAGTTGTTGGTGTCTTTTCAGTGTTCAGGGAGTGAAATGATCAACAGCTGCAATGTATTAAACAAGAATTCCTTCCTGTAGCATACCTGCTCGCTCTTCTTCATTGAGTGCTTTTTTTTTTTGCTGCAGTCATACACCTATCTAGAACAGGACCACTAAATGACATTTGTGACCCTGGATCACAAAACTAATGGTCAATTTTTCGAAAATTGAGATTTATACATCATATGAAATTGATATATGGTTTGTTAGGATAGGACAATATTTGGCCGAGATACAAATATTTGAATATCTGGAATCTGAGTGTGCAAAAAAATCAAAATATTGAGAAAATTGCCTTTAAAGTTGTCCAAATGAAGTTCTTAGCAATGCATATTACTAATCAAAAATTAAGTTTTAATATATTTACAGTAGGAAATTTACAAAATAGTTTCATGGAACATGATCTTTACTTAATATCCTAATGATTTTTGGCATAAAAGAAAAATCAATAATTTTGACCCATACAATGTATTTTTGGCTCTTGCTACAAATATACCCCAGCGACTTAAGACTGGTTTTGTGCTCCAGAGTCACATTTGTTTTTGTGCATTATTTTGGAGAAGCGAGGATTCGTGTCACTCTGGCATCCATCCATTTTTGATACCACTTTATCCTCTCCCAGCACCCTGAAGAGATGGCCAGTCCATCACAAAGTTCACACACACCTTCAAGCAATTTATAGTGTCCACTTCACCTATGCTGCATGTCTTTGGATGGACCCTTTTCACAAGACTGTGATGAAGAACTGTATGAAGATGAAGAACTAAAAACTGTATGTACATTTATAACACTGTACGTTGTATTATATTACCTAAAAAAACTAGTTAACACTAATGCGAGGGTGTTTCTAATACAACGTCAATGAAGTGACAGTAAATTTGGCATCGTTCTCTCTACTGACTGCCATTATCGGTCTCTCTCTGGCCCCCCCCCCCACCTTTGAAAGTCATGAAAACACTATCATGGAGTTTTTCTTTTGCTATTTGAGCAAATGGGAATGCAAAAATATATTTGTGTTAGTCTCCCATTCACTGCTATAGAAGTGTACCCAACTATGACGACTTCTGCTGCTGAGAACCCAGAAACGTGAAAAAGGTCAATTGTGAGGGAAACCAGAGCAAACCCGTGCAGATATGGGGAGAGTATGTAAACACCACACAGAAAGGCATCCGGGCTAAGTCGGGACTTGAACCAGGGTCTTTTTTGCTGTGAGTTTTTGTGTTACAGTGCTACCCAGTAAGCCACTGTGCTGTTCAGCTTGAAAAACAATTACTGGCAAAATATCTATTGACTTTAAACCTACGTAAGCTTGCATCGGGACTATGACAACCACTGAGAGTGTTCTAGCTAAGTGACTGAGGTCTGAACAGTGGAAAACAAACAAACAAAAAACAAGCCTGCCAGTTTTATTTATTTTTTATATCGAATATATTTTATTTTTATTTAATTATTTTATGAAATATAAATCTATTTCTATGGGCATTTAAGGGCATTTTATTTATTTATTTATGTTCTTTTTTTTACTTAATTAGAACCACAGTGTGTCACCCATTTGTGTCAAATGCTTCAGTTGAATCAGTTAACTGAAATAAATTCTCAGTAGAAACAAATTATTACTGTTACATCTAAATTAAAATCAAAGTAGCTGTAAATAATGTAAATGCATATATTATAATAAATTTGACATGATTAGTCAGTCTCTAAGTTAAATTATATAGCTTTGTTCAGTTGAGGTGCGGAACCATTAGACAAAAAAGAGCCCTTGTCTGTCAACAGTGTGATGTATAAAGCAAACCAAACAGCTTTCTGTTGATCAGTGAAGTGAATTTGCATAACGGACTTAAATCCGTGTCAAAATCTGCATGGGGAAATATTTCGCCTTGATGCAAAATTCCCCATTGCTTGCATTTCTATTAAAATTACTGGATTTTACCAGCAAAATTTGGCAGAACAACAGTAAATGTGGCAGCATCTTTTAAAAGCAGATTTTAATGTATTTAGATTGCTTGCTACAGTTCACTATGCTGCATAACTACAGAGATATTGAATATTTAATAAAAATAATAAAACTCAAATAAAAATATCCAATGTTACATAACAAAAAACAAAATGTTTGAAGGAGCACAGGTTAAGTGTATGCCATTTGTGTCATGTTTTGGTATTACTGACCCTGCCGAGAGATGTCAGATGTCACCCGTCAAACTTGTATTTAAACCCATTAAGATCCACATAATATACTTCTGAGCTTACAGTACAAGCACTTGAACTCCAGCTCCGTTGTTTTCCTCTTCACTCCTCCGCTTTCTGACTTTGTCCATCTTTCATGTCATAATACAGCTTCAGCAAGTTTGTGTACACTTGGTTTCCAAGAATCCTGCAAAATACTTTTTTTCTCTCTTTCTTTTCATCTGTGATGCCTGTGTCCCAAACACCAGCATAATGAACACCATTACATGAGAGTGGAAATTAAAGAGAAAGGATTCAGGGAGTTTGTGAGCATTTAATTGAAAGAGAAATTACTAGACCAGCCCACATTCTCTATTTCAACAACATCCTCTCTATAATTGGCCAATGAGTCACTCCACTGAAAAATGCCTAGATAGATTAATTAGGAAACATGTCATTAGGAACAATGTGATCTGAGCAACCCTAATAGAGTATTGACAACAGATATTATTTCAAAATACTGGCTTGTCTCCTTGGGACAGGGACAACTATGCATTTTTACAGATACCGTGAGACTGGATGTGGATGTTTTTTTTTATTTGGTCTGACAAACTAGATTCAACTAATCAGTTCATTTAGAGCACTAATGTCCTTAAATGGCTGTATCAAATAAGGAAGGCATCCAAAATGAGCTTCCAGCACTCAGACATTGCTGAAAGCAGCCTGACCGTATCACTAAGCCATACACCTAACACATTCATACAACAGCTTGTCAAGATGTCAAGAACACTATATAGTCACAGGTTTGCTTGGGGTGCTGCAACACTTTGGCATATTTATTGTTGGGTTTAAAAGAAAACAACAAGACATCGGCAGTGATTGACCGCTTTTGTAGCCTTAAGTCTATGACGGGAAGCACTATTGATCTCACTTTCCTCTCACATCATCACTTCAGCCTTAAGGACTGAATTTTCTTCAAAACAGTCCTTGGTTGGCGTTGTTGTGCAATCACTGGCTTGCTCATGCTCAACCATCAAAAAACAAAATAAACAAAAAACACCACAAAAACAGAAACAAATGCAAGGCAAAATGATGTTCCACTCTGGTGCTAGAAAATATGCATTCTGTTATGTCAAGCTAAATTTAGTTGCAGGTCATTTTGAGATTAAGTTCCATGTAATTGTGCCCATTTTCAATGCCTGTGTTATTATTATTTTTTTTTTGTTAGCACATTTTGTTTGATGTAAGCAATGACATTCAAAGTTAAAGTTCTCCTCTTTCCTGATCACTGTCATAATTATGATTAATTAAAAAAATTCAATCAAATGCAAACAACCAAAATATCCAGCAGCTATGATTAAAATGGAAAAAAGAAAGAAAAATCCTATTAAATAGTCTATCTGGGCCTATAGGCCAACTACAATTCTAGATTGAAGAAATTAAATAATAATAATAACATGAAAGAAGCATAAAAAGCACATTCACAGAGACAAAATATTTATTTATATATAAATCTAGAATTTGGTAAATTTCAGACTACACACACAGTGATTTTTGATATGAAAGGACTAATTTAATCAAACAGAAAATGCACCCTTCAGCGTTAGCAAAACTTTTTAAAGAGAACATTTAAGATACTATGCAAGTACGTGAATGCAGACAAAAGCGCTTTGCCAACACACACTCTTCTGGTGGTTAGAGAGTAAAGTTGCAGTCACATTTACTGTTGTTTGGCGAATTTTCAGGGACAAAATCCAGTAATATCAATAGGAATTCACACAAAATATATCCTCACGCAGATTGCACAACAGGCTCAATCTAGTCACACAATTTCACAGCGTTTACTAGCAGAAATCGGCTTGGTTTGAAAGTGACTTCTGTGTGAGCTGTGCTTCTTATGTCGCTACACTAACTGGCAATAGACAACTGATTACTTTTTTTGCCCACAAAATTTTGCTGACTTTAACAGTTGACCTAAAAGAGAAAAAATGACCTTAAAAGAAAACATTTAAACTACACTAATGGTGTGTTCAAGTTGTATTTATGAGTTGAACATCACCACAAAGCCATATTTACAAGTGGGAAACAAGTGGGATTTTCTTTAAGTATTGTATGTACAAAATACCACAGTGTTGTACAATTACGTTCTTTATATAGCATTCTTTATTCATCATTTTGTAGATGTAGAGTTAAAAAATCTTGTTGAATTTTATGCAGAAAATGTACATTATCTTGTTCCGACCAAAGTTATTTGAACCCATGTGATGCCGTAATTAGGATGTAAATACAAAGTCCCAAGAGGACTTGTATGCACCATTCCTGCTATTGCACCTTTTGTTGCAACACTGAGAGTGCAATGTTTACTCGTGTGTGAAAACTGAGCTTTCATAGCTACATCTGCGTTCACGTACTTACATGGTTCAAACATTTACACAGTTTAAAATAAATACCCTTCAGCATAGAATTCATGTTTTATACAATTTAAGGAGCTGAAAACAACCGAAGATTATATACATTTGGTGTTAGAGGAAAAAAAAAACTTTCTTTGCACTTATAAAAATGCTAAAGTACCGACTAAGGACACATGGGCAGCTATGTATTTTTATCTTTGAGCAAATGGCTTTGTTTGCACAAGAGGCCTATATAAGTCTGCGCCAAGAAATGAATAATATCACAGCGTTCACAAGCAGCCTTCAGCACTATTTGCCTCTTTGTGCAGCCATACCGTGTGTGGGTGGGCCCCGGTGGGTGTCAAGCGTCCAGTGAATCACAGAGATTCATTTAGATACTGAGAGCTATCCAATCATAAGGTCACAGGATGGGCGCCTCTCTTCCCACAGCCACAAATGGCAGCTTCTCTGAGCGGGTCGATAGAAAACACAGTGTGCAATTCATGTCACATAGCTATAGCACAACAATTAAAAATAACCCTAGTAAATGACAGAATAGCATTTTCGCATAGCTTTTTACATATTCTTTTTTAATATTTAAACAATCAGTTATGAACGAAAGCTGTGAAATCCACAGAGTCATTATGGAAATTGTGGTTGTTCTCTCTCTCTCTCTCTCTCCATAATGTGTCTGCAATGGCTTTCTATACGCCTCCAAACCTATCTGAGTGTGAGCCTGTGTGTAGGAGGAGGTGGCGTGGGGCAGTGGGGAGTGTAGTTGATATGTTAGAGCTTGCTATGATCTCAATAGTTAACGTTTATTTACACTCAGAAAAAGGTATCTGAATGTCACATAAGCATAATATGGTGCTGGGAAGGGACACTGTGGAATTTTAATGTATGTGTAGCTTATGTTGTCTGTGTGGAATTAGAGCATAAATGACATTATAATAGGAGGCACTTAAACCTCTTTAGCTGGTGTCGGATAAACCCAGTGGTCCTTAGGTAAGACCATGTTCATAATTATGCTAAATAAACTCAACCCCCCCCCCCCCCCCCACCCCCCCCTCCTCACTCCTACT